AATACCCAGCTGTTGTGCAAACCATGTGGTCTTCACATAGTGACCATGATGCCAGTGCATCTATCACATTGGAAAATCTGGTCATCTCAGAATGTTTATTTAGGATGTTTACAAAATGTATCTTTGCAGTTGCCAAGTAAATTTTAAATGCACTGTTTAAGAGAGGTGTGGTGGATGTTCTGCTTGTCCGTAAACAGTTGTGGTAAAATATGAAACCTTCTGCAGTTTATCCACCAAAGTTTGGTGACATGAATTATACAATTTAGGCAGAGCTGTTTGACTGAACATATTGGGTCTAAAGTATTTTATACAGTCTCTCAACTGCTTGAATTGACACCACCATTTCTTTTGCAATCTATCTGGTCACAGATTTGTTATGTCTTGCCATCTGCTGCTTTTCTAGTTGTAAAATACTTTTTTTGCTAAATTACTCTGATAAAGTTTGCTGAGTGTGTTTTATAAAATCTAATGATGTAGACTGTCATGTATTAAATTGCACACTGCATTCAGTTAGGTACATTAAAGAGTGATAACACAGTGAACCCTTTAATGTCATCCACCGTCGTTTTGTGGCTCTTTTTTAAGTATCAGTTCAGGCACCATTTAGGCACCGGTACCATTTTAATAGTATCGATTTGACACCGGTATTGTAAAAACCCAAATGATACCCAACCCTACTTACTACCTGTTATTACACTGTGCATCACGGTGTAGCCTACTAGTGCAACTTGCTCGTGTTGCCAATTATATCAGCAGGATTCTTAATGTGTCCACCCCTCGTGTGAAGCACAAGACAAGTCCTCTCTACAAAAGCGCAGTTTAACTGCGCTTTTGTAGAGAGCACAGTACTTCATCACAGTACTTCATCAGTCTTCTCTAAGAACAAAGCAGCATTTGCAACCATGACTTGACTGAACTCTGGAAGAATTCCATGTACATCATCTACAGGTCTGCTATCAAAGTAACATAGCCTGATGATGGAATTGCAGGTTTCCTCAAGGGGTTCTTTAAGGTTGCGTGGCTGGTTGAATGACATAGCCTTCTGGACACATCTACATTTTCGTGATTGTGCCTAAGGCGACATGCAACTCTGAAATCGTACCCCCAAGCTCCTCTAGCCATTGGGCCAATTATCCCTATGGTACTTTCATCTTCATTAGTCACTGTAGGCTACTACGGTCTGTATGCATGATAAAAGGTTAGCCCAGCTGGTATTGACAGAAGCATGTTGTGAATTCTACTACAACCAACAATACCTTTCTTGAGGTGCAGTAATTCTGCTCCATTGGTATTAAACTCTGACTATTGTATGAAGGTGTTTGGCCACTGTGGCAAACTCTTTGACAAATTGTCTGTAGTAAATTGTCGGACATCATTAACATTCATTGGCTATGGCCACTCTCAAATCTTCTGCACCCCCTGGGGGTTACTGGCAATAACAATCTTTGTAATGATGTGCTACAGGTAAGCCGCTTGACAGCGGAAGAGGCAACACTTTCAGTTTAAGTTTTAAGTAGGCCTGGCATAAACACCTGTGCCAGGCACCAGAGCATTTCCTTCACATCCATCCTTAGTACAATGATGTTGTCTAAATAGACAAGACAGATTTCTCACTGCATTCCAGCCAAGACATCATCTATTAAATGCTGGAATATCACTGGGGTATTACAAAGGTCAAATGGCATAAAGTTCTACTCAAACAACTACAAAAGAAAGCTGACTTTCAAGCCTCTGAAGTCATCTTCACTTGCCAATACCCGAGGGCTAGATCTACAGTGGTGAACCACTTCACCATATGAAGGTATCCAGGGTTTCTTGGATTCTTGGAAATGGGTAAGCATCTTTGATGGTGTGTTTGGCCTTGGTCCATCAAATGAGGTTGCTGTTTCAGAAGTGGACCTGGTCAGGCTTGAATGTCATGTCGCACCAGGTTGGTGCGACTGAGGTCACTGGTCCTCTGTGGTTCCCAATCCTGGCCCTGTAGAACCTCCAACACCGCTCATTTTTGATGTCTCTCTTATCTGACACACATATTTGAGGCCATGGAGACTTTACTAATGAGCTGATGAGTTGAATCAGGTGTGTTTTATTAGGGAGACTTCTAAAATGTTCAATGTTGTATGGAGGTAGTTTGGTTATCTTAAGTCAGAGATAGTGCTGAAGCTAGCCTGGGTGACGGGCAATTATTAAAAAAATAAAAACTTATAATAATAAAAAATATAAAATTATAAAAATTATACACTCCTCAATGTGCCGGTGATGAAATTAACACTCAAAACAACAACAACAACAACAACAAAAAAAAGTCAGATTGCAGCAGTACTCAAATGATCGCTTGTTTTATAAATGAAAGCACACTTCCCGGAACGCCGATATGCTGGCTTCTTATACATCAAACCAAATAGTAGACTTTCTGCTTGGGTGATGTAAACTCACAAAGCGCAGGATCACGAGAATCTCGCAAGAGTTGAGATTGAGGTCAAACACAGACACACAAGAGGATGAAGAACAGTACAAAGGAAAAAGCAATTAACACAGATGAATGACAATACAGTCTTATCATTAATTAATACTATAAATAAGCTTCTCCTTATATGGCCATGTTACACCATGAACCTTCCTCCTGATCCTCTTTTGTCACTGAACCCACTCAGCTCAGAGTCTTCTTCATCACCGTTCATCACAGTGTGTTCTTCATCGCCATCAGTCCTGTCCATCACTGAGCCTGCTTCCTCACCCAGTCTTCCTCTCCTGCACTTTCCACTGAAGCCAGGCATTTCTTCAAGTTCCGCCTCTGCTGGTGCCCTTCAGCCCCTCAGCTCCACCATTAGCACTGCCATGCAGCCCTGATCTGCCTTGGGGCTTCCAGTCCCCAGCTCTGCCCAGGCTCGAGGAGTCTCAAGCTCTGCCTCGGCTCATCAACCAATTGGCTCCACCTGAGACTGTCATCCCTCCAGCTCCAATGGACTCCCGGCTTCATCCTGGTCAGACATCGCAATGGATTTCTGGGATCTCCATTGCGTTCCATCCTTCCTCCTTCTCTTAGGCTCAACCATTGTCCTCACTTGCACCGTAGTCAACGCAGTCCTCCGACACACTGGCTACTCTGCAGCCGCTTGTCACCGGAAATTTGCCTTGGTCTCCTGATCCTTCAGTGTCACCGGGTCTCTCAATCCATCGGACGCCACCTGGGCCTCATCATCTCCCGGTTTCCACCTTGGCTCCTTCCCTTGATCAGTTCCACCGTGGGTCATCTCCCTCATGGCTTTCTCCTGGGTCGCTCTAGATCTCATTGGCCATCCAATCCTCCATGGGTCCTTCCACCATCCACTTCTCCGTGGCTTCTCCCACTGTCATTGCCTCAATGGGTCCTTCCTTCATCTACTCCTCCTTGGATTCTCTGGTCTCCTGTCCTTCACCATCCACTCATCCACCTCCGGATCCACCTTCTCCGCCAGTTTACGGTGCACCTTCCCGGAGGGAGGCATTATGTCACAGTTATGTTCTGTTTCTTTGTGTTTTGGTTCTGTCTTAATGTTTGACTGAGTTTCTCCTCATTAACTCATTAGTTCCTTCTTATTTATACTCCCTGTTTAGTTCATTTCCTTTGTCTGAATGAATGAATAAGGCATTTATGTAGCGCTTTATTATGTACTACTCTACTCACCACACACTAGCTATAGTGAGTGACGTGACATGTGGCCAAGTATGGTGACCCATACTTGGAATTAGTGCTCTGCATTTAACCCATCCAAAGTGCACACACACAGCAGTGAACACACACATCGTGAACACACACCTGGAGCAGTGGGCAGCCATTTATGCTGCGGCGCCCGGGGAGCAGTTGGGGGTGCCTTGCTCAAGGGCACCTCAGTCGTGGTATTGAAGGTGGGAGAGAGAAAAGGCTGTACATTCACTCCCCCCACTTACAATCCCTGCTGGTATGAGACTCGAACCCCGCAACCTTTGGGTTACGAGTCCGACTCTATAACCATTAGGCCATGACTTCTATAGGTGGAGAGGAGAGAGAGATACAGCCAATTCAGTGGATGGGTATTATTTTTAGGAGGCCAAGATTAATAAGGGCCAGTGGAGGGAATTTGGCCAGGACACCAGGGTTACACACTCTTTATGAGAAGTGCCAACTGCCATTTTAATGACCACAGAGTGTCAGGACCTCAGTCTAACGTCTTATCCGAAGTATACATAGTGTCCCCATCACTATACTGGGGCATTAGGACCCACACAGACTGCAGGGTAAGCACCCCCTGCTGGTCTCACTAACATCACTTCCAGCAGCAACCTAGTTTCCCCAAGAGGTTTCCCATACAGGTACTGACCAGGCTCAACCGTGCTTAGCTTTAGTGGGCAACCGGTCTTGAGCTACAAGGTGATATGACTTGTGGCCATTTGTGTTATAGATGTGATACTTGCTTGCTTATATTTGGATCTACCTGTTGATATTATTAAATCTTGTTTTGGAAACTTTACCTTCTTCATCATCATCATCTCTACAACCCTTTTGTGACACCTGGTGCCTGTATACTAACGAGTGTCAATTAAGTAAATGAATGGGAATAAATAGGTCTAAGTCCATACTGACAATATCCTCAGGTGGCCATTTCTAGTCATATAGCTCCTATCTACCAAAGAAATCTCATTTAACTTCCTCATTCATCGCATCACAAAATATGCCACCCGCCATGCTTGCTCACAGGCACTAGAATTCTGGATATAATAACCCCTCTTGTAAATGTCATGTGATTATTTACTCTGGATGAAAATGAATAGTCAGGGAACGACAACACCGGTGGTACCACAGGAATGTACACAGTCCCAAGCCCTTCACAAGTGATTTTACTTTCATGAAATTTAATGTTTAAAATAAAACTTTCCATGCATTTTGTACTACAAAAGTTGTACATCTCTCAACAAAAGATCAACTGAGGATCTTGGCATTAGTAATTCATCTGAGATGATGAGTGCACTTTTGATTATTGTTTTTTTTTTCTTTCGTTTTACATTACAGCTAATGATTCTGACAAAAGCAGCATGTCAGCAACAAGCTGAGTAGGACAATATGGATTTACTTAGGGAAAAAGCGTACATTTTAAAAGTAAAAGCAACATGATGTATGGTATATTTCAGAGGCAGATTACAAAAGACAATATGAAAGTGTGTCAATATTAGAACACCGGTTTTTCATTTTTAACTGTGACATTTTAAAAACAATTATAAACAAGTGTAAAAATTCACTTTCTTCTGTCAAAAACCCTCTTCAGGAGTATGTGCAGCTTTAAAGGCGCTCAAATGTGTCACTACAACCAATGCACAAATGTGCATTTGATTGTTTTGGGATTTCCTTGTAAGTAGCTCTCTAATTTTCTACAAGAATGTTCACTTTCAATTATTCATGCTTTACTTCATTCATCTGAAAATAAATACAGTACCAGTCAAAAGTTGGGACACACCTACTCATTCTTTACTATTAATCTAAAATCAAACTGAAGTATGGGAATTATGTAGTGACCAAAAAACTGTTATGTTGTCTAGATTCCAGCTCTGCACACTATGTTCGTTTTTTATTCTTCACTCTTAATTCAAACAATACTGAGGGAGTTCTCATATGCACTGGACTCCTGGTGGCTGCATTTCTCTTACTATCCTTTCTAACTCAACGTTTCATTTTATTTTTAACAAAGCATTTTTAGTTTTGTAAAGAGATTCATACATAGGCACAATTTATTGTTGTCTATAAAACTAATTTCAAGCAGTTAAGCAGAAGCCTTTAGATCAAACGGTTTTTAAGATCATGAAAACATTTCTGTCAAGTGTGTCCAAATCTACAACACTGACATTCTCACTTAAAAACAAATGGTTGTGTAAAAATTGTTCTGTAATAAGCATATGTAATATTGCGATGGTTTGGATCTGTGCACAAGAAATCGATTATCGTTATGAATAATTCAGAACTTGCAATGGGAGTAGTAAAACTGGCACATAAAATTGATAACTTCTGATTGATATTGTAGTAAATTTGAAGCAAACAACACTGGTTCCATGTCAAAGTTTCCCTCGCCACAGTCAAACATACAACAAACAATTGGCATTACTGATGGAACAACATTTTTCTCTATACATCTCATACAAAAATAAAAAAATGTAATTGTTCCAATCTCTCTTTTTTTCCTTATTTGACTCCATATTGCACAGAGGTAGTGGCTATTAAGGTAGAGGGGAGGTGACCTAAAAATTGCGACAAAAAACGGCATCTTCTTGTTAAAAAAAAAAAAAGTATCTTTTGTTGTTGTGGTGTTTTGTTGTGACCAGAGGAATTGTAAAAGAACAAACTATAATACTGCAATCACATACAAAAGTAGTCCTTCATTTTGTACATTTTATACAGTGTTAACACTTAATCATTGGTTTTCTTTCTTCTTTTTCTCTTTTTCTCAAAAAGGCAAATGGTATTTTCCATGTATGGACCAAACTGATGGACAGTCTAAGCCAGGGGGTCCACCAGGGGCTCCTCGTCGCCCCGTGATAGCAGCTCCTTCTTCTCATCAGTACTGGCCAGGGAGTTGCGGCTGTTGTGAGCTCCCATGTACAGAGTAGCATACACAGGATTCGTGAAGTTGGTCGGCTACAAAAGAAAAAGTTGGAAATATATGGGATCAGGCCGATTCTTTAGCTGAAAGACCACAGCTGTGCTCACCAAACCTAGTCAGCATTTTAAGGCATCGTATCCACACTCCTGACAGAAAGATTGTTCCAAATAATATGCTGCCTTCAAAGACCCTCTAGATGGCAAACCGGTGGCAACTCGGAGGAAAGTAGCTGTCTATGTAGGCAGTAGTGCTCTTTTGTCTTTGCATGAAGGTAATTATGCGATTCGTTTTGCCGCAAAGTATTGCTACAATAATAAAAAGTAATTTTCAAATATCACTGCATTCCTAAGTGGTAATGCAAATAGTCAATTACTGCCATTAAATGAGCCAAATACACTACTGTTCAAAAGTTTGCGGTTAATACAATTTTGTAATGAGCAGAAAGCAGTCTCTTCTGTTCACCCAGGCTGCATGATTCTTCAGAAATCATTCTAATATGCTGATTTGCTGCTCAAGAACAATGTTGAAAATATTTTTTTGTGGATTCTTTGATGAATAGAAAGTTCAAAAGAACAGCCTTTATTTAAAATGGAAATCGTTTGTAACATTATAAATATGTTGACTGTCATTTATCATCAATTTAATGTGTCCTTGCTGAATAAAATGATTAATTTCTTGAAAAATAATAATAATAAAAAAATAAAAAATAAATAAAAACAAACACAAAAATCTCTACAGAGAAAGATACTGTAATTGGGATTTCAACTTCCAGAACCCAATCATTACAATAACTGTGGCTGTAAGAAAATCAAATTTTATGAAATGGATGAATGGAATTTTACTTTTCTAGACTTGTTTTAGAGTAGTGAAATAAAGCATGGACAGAATATATGTAATTTGCTGTCATCTTACCTTGTCAGGATCCAGTGTGAAGTCAGCATCCAACAATTCTCCAACGTCGTCATCTTGCTCTCCTTCATAAATTTTATAGGCTGGGTTTCCAATCTCAACATTCATTGCGCCATTTGTCATTCTCTGATGCTGAAAGCCTTTGGCTCTGCAGATACACAATACACAGTTTTTATTCCCAGGAAATGAGGTTGAGAGGTCAGTATTACACCGTACAAAGCAGCAGAGGGAGAAATACGGCCACAACACAGAGGGATGCCACTAACAGTCACTGGAACAACCTAAAATGAAGCAATACCATCACAAACCCAGCATTTACCAAAATACATAGTATATGTGTATAATCTTTTTGCCTGTAACCACAATTTTAAGTCAGCCAACTTGATAAATGATTAGAAAATCCTTATCCTTTATAAAGGTACAAGTACAAAAGTATGTGTATAAACAGGGTTGGGCTGTATGAATATAAGACTTTAGTTCATCTTCAAAACACAAATGAAGATATATTTGAATGAAACTTGAGACATTTATGTCCCTCCTTTGAATGTCCATTTCACCAAAACTTCAAAAACAGTTCATAAAGACACTGTAAAAGTTTGAGCTTTCATTTCCCATATTTGATGTGCTGAATAAATGCAGTATGTGTGTTGATCAATGATTATGTAAATACAAATCTAAATGAAATCTGTTTATCATATAAAGCGATCGTATCACTCGATTCATATGGATTACTTGTACAATCTCTACATAAACGTCTGGAAGCTTGAAAGTTTGATTGTGTGGACTTTCATTGGAGGGACAGAAATCTCACAGGTTTCAGTAAAAATATCTTCATTTTTGTTTCAACTATGAATAAAAGTCTTCAGGGATTAAGGGTGAGTAAATGATTTTAGGTGAACTAACCCTGTAATATACATTAGTTCAATTAAATTAAAATGATGTGTGGTCACAGGCATATGTTTAATGATATATGTATTTAACTACTTCATTCAGTAAAAAAAAAACTAATATATGTATATATATATATATTGAACAAAATTAAAAACGCAACACTTTTGTTTTTGCCCCCATTTTTCATGAGCTGAACTCAAAGATCTAAGACTTTTTCTATGTACACAAAAGGCCATTTGAGAGAAATAGGCCTTTTGTGTACATAGAAAAAGTCTTAGATCTTTGAGTTCAGCTCATGAAAAATGGGGGCAAAAACAAAAGTGTTGCGTTTATAATTTTGTTCAGTGTAATAATAATAGTAAATTATATATTTTGTTAAGTCTTTGAAACTAAAGTGTTATTTAAACTAAGGTTATTTAAATTAAATCTTAAAATACATTCTTTTAAAAAACATGTTTTATTTTCCCTTGCATTTCAAGCAAAAACAATTATATCATGACATAGGATTCAGGTCTTACTGCCCTCCCTAGTAAAAATCAATAAATAAAATATGCAAATGAAAAGCTGATAAGACTAACACTTTCTTTTAAGGATTAGTTCACTTCCAGAATAAAAATTTCCTGATAATTTACTCACCCCCATGTCATACAAGATGTTTATGTCTTTCTTTCTTCAGTCAAAAAGAAATTAAAACATTCCAGGATTTTTCTCCATAGATTGGACTTCAATGGGGATCTTTTTCAATAGGATGTTTATTTTTTAGAAAATGACCGATGATTTCGCTTGATAAGACCCTTATTCCTCGGTTGGGATCATGTAGAGCCCTTTAAAGCTGTACTGAAACCACAATTTGGACCTTCAACCCGATGATCTCCACTGAAGCCCATATGGAGAAAAATTCTGGAATGTTTTCCTCAAAAACCTTAATTTCTTTTCAACTGAAGAAAGAAAGACATGAACATCTTGGATGACATGGGGGTGAGTAAATTATCAGGACATTTTTATTCTGGAAGTGAACGAATCCTTTAAGCGAAGGCCATCAAATGGCCACATTATCTTGATAAACACTGGGTTTTGAACATGGCACATGTTCAACAGATGCAGTCCTGCTGAGAACCGATCGTAGATAAACATACGGTATTACAGCGGGACCGGTATGGCTCTGTTGAAAACAATACGATAGGTTCTCACAATCTAACACAATTGGATCTATTTCTTTGTTCTCGGTAACAGATTACCACCTTCTCATCTGAACAAGGCACAAACCACTTGTAGGGTTTAGTCAGGTGGTTTGACAGAGGTATGACAGAAAGAGATCGGGTGAGACCATGAAGACAACAAGAACACTTGGACCACAATTCTCCAAACCAGCGAGAAAGATGGACAGAATGGGAGAGAGACAAAATAAAGACATAATGGACAAAGACCGTTACCGCGGTCGTTTGGAGCGGGATTTGCCAAGCCTACGGAAAAGAGCAGATGCGTTTTACCAAGAAAGAAGGAGAGAAAAGAGGTGTTTTGGGATGGGAAGTTGCTTAGATTTCAAATTCTGAACAGTACAACACTTTAGAGAGGTGAAAATCTTTTGAAAAAGAAGTACAGAAGTACAATTTTATAAAATACTCACCCTCTCATTCTTTTCCTGTACCATAATACTGCTCCTCCAATCAGCAACACCAGCAGTATCAGTAAAACCAATGGAATAACTATTGAAGCTGTTCCTAAAAGAAACAGATGTTATTATAACAAGTATTATTAAGATTTCAATATAGCTGTAGAATTAAAAAATGGACTTACGGCCACTGGATTCAGCATTTACATTGGGAGCAGGATTCTCACAGCGATGACCCTCCCATCCCAGAGGACATCTACATGAAGAAACAGAGGAATTTATATATGTATATGTATATATATATATATATATATATATATATATATATGATTGTGTCAAAGCAGCTTTACAGTGTCGTCAAACAGGAAAATAGTTTGTCAATAATGCAAGAAGACAATAACAAAGAGTCATTATT